GAGCAATATCTAGAGCAATGATGAAAACTGGTCTTTTTAATTGCTACAGTTTGTTCACTAAGCTGCTAAGGTGATATAAAAAAAATCTTGGATAGTAAACTAGTGGGCAAGCAGCAGAAACTGTAAGAGAGATATCAAACTATGGAGAAAAATGGCCCTGTTAGAGATTACTGGCTTGGAAATTTGTCAGCCCATGCCAATAAGTCAGATGTCTTCCTTTATCCCTCAGCAGATACAGCTACAGTGGTAGGAAATAGTCTTTGACCATCTTCCTGAGCTACTTTTGGCTGTTCTACCTTCCTTTGCTTTATTAGGGAGAGTGGAATCTGTGGATTAGTTACTCTTCTTGTCCTTCTGTGATTGACAATGTGGATAGAATAAAAATGTTGCTTAGGAAGGAAGGCAGTGTCTGTGGTACCCAAGCCATCATTTGATGAAAGAAAAATAGCAGGACTGTGGTGACCAGAAAGTCTGCCTGGGACTGGATTTCAGAGATTTGTTGGCTTGCTAACAGGATGTATCATCTTTCACATTATCAGCCTGGATTCACCCACTCAAATCTGTTTGTGGATAAATTCTGAATGAACAATTTATACTAGTCAGGGTGTTCTTTTTAAAGGGTTACATAGTTTTAATTTAAATATCCCTATGTGCCAGTACTGCATTACACAAAGTGCATTTTGCTGCACTACTTATCAGTCTATTTCTATTTCTAATTATAAATTTTCCAGAACTACACCTCTCTGTAAACTGTTCATGCCACATTAAAATAACTGTGAATTATCTATACTTATTCTTTATTGAGAATATACTACATTCCTCTTTCACATGTAGCATGAATTCTTTTAATTTTCAGTTCCGATCTGGTTCAATGGAAATTAGAACTTTGCAACTAGAATAAAATATACTGTGTTAAATTTGGTTTCATAAACTCTGTAGCAATACTTTAATGCTCTACTAGTAAACAGTTCCTGCCACCTCAGGTTTTTATGTGTTTTAAATTTTGTTATAACTATAAATATTTCACACAAATGTTTTAAATGTCATTATCTTATTATTAATGATTTACAAGCTCATTACTTAAAAGAAAATGTGAAAGAAAGAGGCATTATAAATTGACTTAGGATTATCATGGCTTTTATGTTTAATGGTGAGATTCTGTATGTTACAAAATTTTAGTCACTTGTCTAAGAAAACTGTGTTCCTTTGAAGTCTGTTTTCCTGAAATCAAAGATTATATATTGCTTGTTGATTGAGAATTTAAAACCTAAGCATCGACTGATTCAACAGTTAAAAAGATTAGATAAAGAACTGACCATCACCACATTGCTTCTGACACCAGTTTTACTTCCCACAGGGCATCTTACTAGGTGTTAGGCAGACTGGTTTCTTTCCTCCCTAAAGTAACTGACGATTGGAACTCTCCTTTGATGAGCACAGGCAGATTATGTATTATACATTCAAGCTCATGGTTGACCTTTGGAGATGCATAAATGAAAAAAGCAGCTGTTTGAATTGCACTTTCCAGCCCCTTGTGATTCGAAATTGGGATGCCATTTAATACATGCTTATTTAGTGGCAGTGATTTGTTTAGGCCCTTTCTAAATATTGAAGAGAGAATCCTTCCTAGAGGATTTTACAATCTGTGAGAAGAAGGGAAGCAGAGGTTAAGGACCAGGAAAAACAATGGATACAGTTACATATGATTTTCTTTCCCTCTTCAAAACAGCAGTGGGCTTGTGAACAAATTACTGAATGTGTACATGTTAGTATGTGGATATGATAACTTCAAATGCTTTCTGTCATGTCTTATTCTAGTTCTGAAAGATTCTGATCTTTGCAAAGTTTTGCAAGGCTTTTCTCTCTATATATTCATGTAACCATTCTATAAATATTGTGATAGGAAATGTCAGTAGTGCTCTACATGCCCTGCTTGTAAAATCATGAAGGTGTTTGTGAAAGCTAAGCTGGTGGGCATTGTGTGGCTGAGGACACCAGTGCCATATGGCAAGTCTGCACAAATGTTCTTGTGTTCCTGGGGCTGCAGGACAGCCAGGCCTTCCTGGCAGGAGGAAAGCTGCCAGGGTTTGGTACTTTCATTAGAATAAATACTGTGGGTGGAATTCAGGTGTATCATCAGGGAGGCTGAGAACAGCACAGGCCAAAGTGGTTAGAAAAGGGGAGCTAAAAAAAATCAAGTTAAGAAAATACTATTGAATTTGTTCCCATATATAAAGCACCCATTTAGCCTGCTGTGTTATGTAACATGGTTAAAAAATCCTTCTCGCCACCCCAAGCAAGCGTTCTTGGGGACTTTTGGTCTAATCACTGAATTTGCTCATCCTGGAAACAGTGGGATGTTGTCTGGCCTTTATTTCCCAATGTCATAGCACAAATATTTATTTAAATGTCACTTTTAGGCTGAAAATAGGATACCTTGTTATGGTGGAACATGCAAAGTTGGGATTGCTCAGATATTGCCTTCATAATGCGGCTCCATTGAGCAAACAGGGTTGGAGACATTGGTGGTGATGAACAGTCACAGACGTGTCTGCTGCACCTCTGTGTGTGAAGTGGGCTCTAATATTTTCTTTTAGTCTCATACAGTAACATTCTCAGTGGATCATCTTACTGAAGTGCAAAGGTTGGAAGCCCAGTGAAATTGTTAGACTTTTTCCAAAGGTACATTACAGAGCCTCCTAAGCTATAATAATAGGAATCCGAAAACATGGGAGGGTGACCAATTATACTTAAATCTGGTCAGAGTTTTATTTTATGTGGTTGTACTCTGGCTATTTTTTGACTTGTTTGGATCATACTGGCTAAGTGTTCCTGTCCAGTAATACTCATTTTACCCCAACCAGCTATTTAAACCAAGTATATGCTGGTTTTGCTATTGAACAGGAGGACAAGTACCTCCGTTATGGTTAGTTGTCTTGTGGCTTTTGGTACCCACCCATTTATTTTGGTTTGTCCTAGTCTATATTTATCTATGGATGACAAGATGAACTTGAAAAAAGAACAAGTAAGTTGCATACCAGCTCCCAGGATGTAAATCATATTGGGCTTTCAGCTCTTTCAAGCTTTCATAAACAGCGCTTGCTGAAAGACTTGAATCATATTTTTCTGTGACTTTAGTTCATGTCAAGCATTTAATTTTTAACAACAGTGGTCAGTTTCCTGATGTGAACACATGACACTGGCCCCAGAGACTCCAGCTTTCTTTAGCTGTCATCATAACAATTTTTCTTTTTAAAGATACACTCACAGCAAAATTAGAACTGGGGTAAAGGCTTTGAACGTAGTTCAGACCACAGTGGTCCTAAAGCAATGGTCTGCTTGCAATGAGAGTGGAAACTGTGGGCAGAGCCCTGTTCATCTTGTTTAAAAAAAATAAACTAACATATTAGAGTTAGTTAATGGCATACCACTCTGGGTAGTGGTAAAGGCAGAGGCTGACCCCTCTTACACTGTTTAAAGGACTAGATTGTCACCTGTTTATATTAAAACTTACTGGAAAGACATAACAAGAGCTGGTGAAGAGCACACAGTGGGATCCAGTGCCTCACAGGGGAGCTGAAATAGTGCAAGGATTTTATTGTGGAATCCTCCTCCTGCTTCTCCCCTTAGGGGAAAAAAGCCCTAACTCAAACAGGAATTATTTCAGGCAGGACCTGTGGTCTCTGTTGCACAGGGAGGTCAGGCTAGTTTATTACAGTGGTTCCTCCTAGCCCTATATTTAAATATACAAAAGGGAACACAGGAATACATTAAGTGTGTTTGATTTTCAGATCTCTCTGTTACCTCTAGGGGCCCCTCACAAATTCTCATCTGCTCTTTGGTTTCATTATTTTCTGAGACTCTCCTTTAAAACTCTCTCTCCACATTTTCCAATTATTTTATACAGAGCTAGGAGGGAAGTGTAATTTTCCCCTTTCACATGTCAAAGGGCTGTTTGCAAATTGTCTCCCCTCCAGGAAGAAGGGATGGTGTCATAGTGGTAAGGCACCTTTCTTCTTCCCCAGCTCTTCTTTCTTCAATGCATCTCCAAAAATGAAAATAAAATGGAAATGGGTGGTAGACACTGATTTGGGGATATTTAGTAGTTAAACTCATTGGGTTTTTTCCATCTGAGTGAGCCACAAAGATGTCCACTTACAGACTTTATTGAGAGCTTAATACAAAATCTCTTGAGACTGATCAAAAGATGCCCAATGGCTCCAATGTGTGTGACACCTTAAATGAGTGCAGAATAGGAGTAACTCATCTTTCAAAAAAAAACTCACCTGAAGCAAAAAAAAAAGAAAAAACAAAACCCACGTACGCTAGATGAATATCAACAAACAACTTTTTGTGCTTCCAATATCACTTGATTCAGTGTAATTGTTTAGGATTTGGGTTTTTTGAATAAAGATATAAATGGAAATAAGCAGCAGGGAAAATGAAGGCCTAGAACATATGTGCTAATAAGAAATCTAAGACAGATTTCTCTGCTCTTACACTTCTTATTTATTATTCAGATTTTTCAGTGTGATTTCATGAAAATTTAGACTTCCAACTTTCTTTATTTTGTCCACATTGAAAACATTACTCTGAGTGACATGGAGCCAGATTTACACTCTTGCAATTCCAAAGTGACTTCAGTAAATCACTGGATTTGTTTTGGTGTCTATGCAAGACCAGAGTTTAGCTTGTAATATCCAGTTTTCAGTTTTAGAGCTATCATAATAGTAACTAATCTACCTCCTCATGAGGAGGTCAATTTATTTTGAGCGGGTGAAAGGACACCAGTACAGAGAAGAGCTTTGGCCCAGAATATAAATAGATCTAGCTTGACAGTGTAACAATAGCACTGATTTTGCTTTTGCAAAGGAAAACCAGTAAGGGAGGGAGAGCACTGGGTTTCTCCAATGCACTCATTTAGTAATCAAACATTTATATAAAGACATCTCATTTTATTTTAAGTCATGTTCTCATACAGTTTTCTTTTGTCTCTTTAGAACATTTTATTCTACAGTTTTGTGCTTGCTGCTTTTTCTTCTCATCTGAGGGTTCCTGCAATGCTATGAGGTACAGCAAAGAGTTCAGCATTTCCTTTCACCATCATTGCATTCACAAATTTCATTCTCAGAACAATTACTTGGCAGCATGTGGCAACAAGTTGAATATGAAACCTTTTGTCTCTGAGTGGGCTTGTCAGAGACAGTCACTTCTGATCTTGACTTCTGCATTGCATTTGGCATTTGAAAGATAGTGTGTGATTGGGTTTGGTCTCCTTTTCTAATAGTGCAGCAAAAGATTTGCTTGTGATATTCTGACGGCACTGTTTTTGAAGTGTTATTTCTCCGTATGCTAAAATTTTCAAAAAAGATTTTGCACCCAGACATTTTAAACAGTTTGTCTATTATTTCTATTATTTCTTTCCATTTGACTGTGTGTATGAGTGAGTGTGAGTGAGTGTGTGTGAGGCTCTTGTCCTCTGGGCCTTTGTGAGACTCTGTGAGCTGTATGGGTCCCTGCCAGTGCAGCTTGGGGGGAACACCTGCTGGGTGCTGGCAGTCCCAAAGCCCCAAAGTCCAAAGTTCCTTGCTGTCTCAGGAACAGGGTTTCCATGGATCAAACAGCCACATATGTGGGCTGCAAGCATGCAAGGCAGACAAGCTGCTGGGCAAGTAAGATTTACATTGGAAACATGTTGGTCATGTGAGGATCCTTCCCCATTTTTTTCAAAATTAATGTGCATACCCTTAGAATGTTTTAGTGGTGATAAATTGATGTTTTCTCACAGAAACATGTTTCACAGGAAAATTTCTGAGCAACCATCATTATGATTTATAAAGCCTTCAAACCAGGCTACTCAGGAGACTACCTGTGAGTTTATGGCACAGCAGAGACGAATGGAAACACCTGACCTGCTCAGCCCTGGTTACTCCATCTCTCCCCTGAAACGCTGCTCCTGGATCCTGGACTGCTGACATCTATCAGCCTCTGGGCATGCTGTGCATTTGAACCAACACTGGTAGAAGCTAGCATGGTCTGAGAGTGTGGGACTGGGACCACAGTGGTTTTCTGGTTGAGAGTAAGGAAAATGTGGGAGAACAGGTCAAGAAGTTGTAGATTAGAATTACTACTCTGCAAGTCATGCAGCTTACTGTTTTTAGTGTGAATCAAGGCAGCTGTTTGATGAGAAGGCTTTGCATGTACATAGACACTGAATTCACAAAGATACTTAAAAGCCTTTTAGTATGGTATAGTACCTCATAGTGAAAAATATTTTCCTTTATTAAAAATGATTGAATGCAACAATTAATTAAATTGTTAAGAACTTCCTTTAGTTTCAATAGGGACTGGACACGAAGGATCAGCACTAAGAAGCAGATGTGATGAGTAAGCGTGCATCCCTTTTGCACAGCCTGCTTTCATGTCACAAGGCAAAATAAACAGAGATACCACAAATTGCTCAGTCTGTCTCTCTGTTTAGTTTTGTTGAGGTAATGCTTGTTCCAGCCTTCCCCACTAACTAATTTCCTATTGTTTCTTTTTCTTGCACTTCCTTCTGCTTTTGATCTCCTTCCAGTTAGCATCCAGCTCTGATATGGGCAAAAGATCCCTCTCCATAGGTGGCCACCCACAGCTTGCCATGGATGGACCGGCAGAGCTGCTCACCCATCCCTGCTCCAGCCTCCTCTGGGGCGCAGCTGCGCGGGGCGCTTTGAGCCCAGCCCTGAGCGCTCACCGACAGCTGCGGTACTGTACAAGGGTACGGCGTTGAGACAAGCATTTTTCCTTGCGGGTGAGCATGGCAGGCCCGTGTGTGGCAGTGCCCGGCCCTGGGCCGAGGCTGGGCGTGCGGCGGTGCCCCGCGGAGCCGAGGCACAGCGGACAGTGCCATCTGCTGCTCCGCGCCTGGAAACAAACCCTGAGCGGCACCAGGGCGAGCCTGGGGACACTGCGGCCACCGTGTGCCTGCCAGCCGTGCCTCTGCCCTGCCTGCCAAGGGTTTCCATCACCGCTGAGCCCAGCCGTGCCTCTGCCCTGCCTGCCAAGGGTTTCCATCACCGCTGAGCCTGAACGGCTGTGTCCCGTGGCGTGGAAGGCTCCAAGGAAGAACTCCTCAGCAGGTCTGCAGGTGATGCCCTGCATAAAACAGCACCGTCATCCGCTAGAAAGAATTACAGACAGCTGTCACTGATGTCGGTGGGAGTTCTTCAGCCTGTTTTCCTGCAGAAGTTGACTTGCTGGGGGTATTCAGAGAAGCTGGGTAACTTGGGTGTGTTGGAGCTAAATGCTGGTAGAATGACCAGGAGAGCTTGGAGGAAGACTTTTGTAAATGCAGGATTGAATAGAAAAGAAAATATGATCTACCATTGCTGATCCCAGAGGTTAAGGCCTCAAAAGTTACTTTAATGGCTGCTCTTCTTGTATCTGCAATGCAGAACAAGTTACTCTGGTATAAGTTGAACATGCCAGACTGCATATTCCTCAGATGTAAAGAGATTCTTGTATTTTTCTATCATACAGGAAAGTTTGATTCTTTCCTAATCCTTTCTTCATAGTTCTGTAGCCCACCTTTTGCAATCTCATTCTAGAATGGAACTGCAGTGCCAGCAGTTCACAGCACCTTGTAAAATCTTGCCCAGCTTTTCCAAACAGGGAGCTTTTATCTATTTGCCTGCCACTTGAGCAATGACTTTAACTGCTTAAACTGGCTGCTTGTCAAATGCAGCTTAAAAAGACAAAAAAAAAAGGGGGGGGAGTGTGGGATAGTAGGATGTTCAGCTTGTGTGATAGGTTTTATTGGTTCTTTCACTAAAACGAAAAAGAATATTTCATACAGAATACAGAAGTACTGCTGTGGGTGGGTTCACACTGCACATCACATTAAATACTTGTCTGCCTACATATGGAATTGCAACATGTTAGAGAGAAGGTTCTTTCAGTTTGTGTAAACCTAGAAATGTAGAAAAAGTTTGGCTGGACACTCAGTGTCCAATTATCAAGGAATTTTCCCTTGATAAGCAGTTTTTAATTCTTTGTCTTATCCTTTTACTCCTCTTGATAGCCTTAGTCTTTTCTCCTAAATGGGGAACAGAAACATCCTAATTTCCACGGCAAAACCCCATTGTTTCCCTTATTTAAACAATGATTTTCCTAGACCAAGAAAGAGTGAGAGCAGTGTTCGTGTAAATTGCAATACGTGGTTTTGCATTATAAATCAAGCAATGAGTGAAATTGAGTTCTTGGCTCTTCAAGCCAAGAGGTGGGCTCTTTTTCCTGAAAAACATTGCTACAGTCTCTGGAGGTGTAAATCTTCATCATATTAAATTGCAATGGAGCCAGTGGGGCATGGGATAAGAGAAGAGAATATCTTCATGGGATAAGATAATAGACAGGAAAAAGGGAGCTCTGCCTTTTGTGCCCTCCATGGCTTAGTAGAATACTCTCCTTGCTGAGTACAAGAAACTTTCTTATATCTGCAGTCAAATCTGCTGTCCAATATTGTGTTAGTAAGACCATATCCATTTTTCTGTGTGATTTTAATCTCACAAATATTGAAACTCAGTGTCTTCTCTTTAGAAAAATGTTGAGGTATTCTGTTACTTGTTCAATATTTTGGGTGAAGGAGCTTGATTTTGCTTTTACTTGACAGAAAGGCAATCCAAAGGTCATATATAGTGATATCAAGCAGTAGAGGTCCATATGAATGACCATAAGTTAAAGACATCATATAAAGAACACCAAGAAACTGTGCTTTTAATGATGTCTTCATGCATTCCACAAAACAAACATTTATGCTGTGTTGCTGTGTCTTTGCAAAGCTGTTGATATTTAAATTTCTTGTTTGCCTAAACATGAATGAATACAAAAGGCTTTCTAAATGATCACAAAGACTGCAGAAGCACTGTAATGCACAACTCTACCTTTTTTCTGTTTATTAACATGTGTGATTGTACTTTAAAACTCTAATGTGGCAGTCTCCCACATCCATTTTATTGATTCTTTGAATAACATTTTATTGAATGGGTTTGTATTTTGCTCTTTCTGCTATATTTAACATCATGCCTGATATTTAAAAACTAAAATGCTACTTTTGGATGATAATCCTTGAAATGAGAATGAGAATTACCTGGTACTCAGCTTATGAGAATGAGGATTCTATTTATGTTACATGCATTAAAATGATCAAAGGTGCTTAATTTTTATTTTTCTCCTATCTGAAGATTTACCATATTTTGCATGTGTTTGTAAGTGCACATATTTATAAAGAACAGTGGAAAAGCTGAAATACACGATTAAATGCTGTGAGCATTTTCTTTTCTCTTTTATCACAAAATACATGGGACTGGCCAGAAAATGATCCTTTGTCCTAAAAGAGTCAAGCTTTTGAAATTTTTATTAATGTGCAAAATACGAATGGAAGAGCAGGTGCATGCAATGTGCCTCAATCTCTCCTGTTGGAGTTGTTCCACTTGGTATAAATAATTGAATGTCCTAGTGGCCATGGGCAGGGGGGAATAGAGCAAGTGAGCAGGATGACAGCATAGCCCAATGACCAGAACAATCATCTGAGCTGCAGGGAAACCCAGGCTCAGTTCCTTCCTCTGAATCATGAGAGGATGTTCGTATTTCTCGCAGGAATGTCCTAATCACTAGGCTGAGGACTATTTTGGAACTGCTTTCACTCATTTGTATGTGTCTGATAATTGGGCTTCATTTCCAGTCAGAGGGTTTTGAGGGCAAATATTTCTGCAAGAGTTATTATTTTTCAGTGGGGAAAAAGAATTTTGTCATATTTTTGGCCATATCTGGTAATAAATAGGATTTAGAATATTAGCTAGTCATGGTTTCCAATGTACATCAGTGTTAGTCAAGCTTAAGATAAATACAATTAAATATCTTATGGGGGAGTAGAACTAGAGAATTTAATTTGCAAGAATGGGGTATATCATCATTTCCTACAGCTGCTTAGTTTCTAAATTTGATATCTTAAAACTGTTGGAGTTGCTATAATTTCAGATAAAATGTCTTTCCACAGGCAAAAGATAATTTTTCATAAGCTTTTAAAAAACTAATAAAGTAGTAATCTACAGTACTTTATTATTTAGAACCCTAGCCTTGGGGATATGATTTGCAAGGATTTTTTTTTATATCTCAATTCAGGGTGTACATGTGAATATATCTGTCAGTCTTTTCTATAGGTTTTTTCTTTCTACCAAATGCTGTCTGCATTCAGTCCATAGAAACACTACCACCTCTTTAAGTGGTAATGCTCCCTGCAGAGTTTTTAGCCTGTAGGAGATATGATTAGGGGGTGATAGTGTTAAGCACTCCTCCTGTATCTGCTGGCCCACTATGATAACCTTAGGGTTACAATGCATGTCTGACAAATACAATTCCATTGTGACTAGCGCCTTATGGCAATTTAGGAGGCTTATTCATCATTTTACAACAGACTTCTGTCAGGGATTTTGCTTATTTGCCCTTCACTGGTGTACAGTAGTTGTAGGTTTATCTCTAGGAGTCCAGCCCTAATAACCAATAACAAAGTGCTTAAGCTCTAAGCTTGTGAGAAATGGACTTACATTATACTCCAACTGCACCTTAGCTCTCGACTGATAAGACAATGTGTCTTTGAGAGAAGGAAGGATTTGTATGAACTGATCCTTTACAGTATGGTGTATGCATTGGTAGAAGATATGGGGAAGTACATTGTGTTCTAACCATCCAGATCCCAGCTTTTTACATATAAAATGCATCCTTGCTATCATTAGAAATGTTTTCCTTTAAAATATGAAAATGAAGAGATATCTTGCCTTGGAAATCGCACTACAAAGTTGTTTGTAACGATGGTGTGGGATTTGGAAGAACTGAGTTACTTTTGATGAAATCCCCATGATTATGGTTTAAATTACACAGATTTATTTAAGGAACAACAAAAGTTGTTTGTTTTTTTTTTTTATTATTATTCAGATTCCTGCTGGGTTCTGGATATTAATTAGGTAGTGGTTCCAGATGAAATCCAGGAGAGAGGAAAAAAAGCTCTACTCACATTTTAATAACCCAGAGAATTTTAAGTGGCTAACCATATTGTTTACTATATATCAGTCTGAAGAATAAAGAATAAAAGCGCATGAATAGGCAGGCACACAGCATGGAAGAATAGCACCGTACACCCCAGCTAAAGAGCATTGTATATTCAAGGTTTAGATCTTCCACCCAGCAGATTTAGAGCATGAGGGGGCAACATTTGAGAAGTGTGTACTGAACAAACACAAACATGAGGATTGCCTTTTTTCAGTTTTAAGTGTGAAAACATTAGCTCTCCCTCTATGCCTTTGAAGTCTTCTCTTTCTAGCAAAGCTCTGGCAGGAGGGAGGTCTTTCAATTAGTTTCTCACCCATAATGATTTCTTTGAGAAATTTTAATCAGGTTTTCCATCACAGAGTGCATTTGTT